TGTGTGTGTGTGTGTGTGTGTGTGTGTGTGTGTGTGTGTGTGTGTGTTAGGCTTATGCAGGAAGTCCTGCTAGACAGGTAGTGTTTATGCTTGGATTTAAAATCAGTATTGAGGAAATGACTCATTAAGATGTAGATATACAGCAGTTATTTCTATTTTCAAGGAAATTAAAAATGTACCTGCAGTGAGTGGACACACACACACACACACACACACACCATCTGCAGTCACTGACCAAGTGACAGTACTCTGTATGTCTTCGTCTCACATGAGGATTAATGCTGTTTGTTTTCTGCCATAAACATCCGTCAGTGGATTGTAGGAACATTGGCTGAGCTCCTGCTGCTGGATGGGTGAGCTTGTTGTAACTGAATGAGAAATGCTCACACCTGGATTGTGCACTGTGCTGTGTGCTCCACTTTTCACAGCCCGTGCACACGAGTGCTAAAGCTGTGGTCAAAAGTTTGTTAAGTGTGGTTTAATGTGATTTTAAAATGTCATTTAAGCTTCGTTTTATAAGTCGTCTTACCCCAACAAGCTACTTTTACACCAAGGAGTCCAACATATGATGTAAGTTGGGAATAAACAAGATGTTTGAGCAATTAGAGTTTGCAATAAAGGCATAAAATAAACACAAAGCATGGTGGGCCACTACAGGAGCAGCTTGAAGCCAGTGGGCGAGTAATGCTTTCCTCACAGGCATCTGAGCTGTGACTAAAGCAACAAAAACTGTAGCATGGAGCTCACTATTTTTTACTACCAGAAATAAATCTGCCCATGTTTCCTCAAAAAAAAAAAAAACTGATCTCAAGTTTCTACTGTTGTGAATCTGTTGGAGGTAAAAGGCAGAATACAGAGCATTACAGCTAATTTCACCCAAAGTTTCAAATGTGCTGAAGAGAGGCTATGGAAAAGAGGCATAATGTTGTTTTAGATCCTGAAACCGTTCAGAAACTAAAAAATATATCCCATGTTTTGCTACATCTGACCCATCTTTGTGTATTTATAAAAACGTTTTAATAACTTGTAACTTCACGTTGAAATCTTTCTACACATTTTATTTTACCTCTCACACAAAAAGCTCATTATCATTTCTTTGTCTTATGTCTCTTGTTCCTGTTGAGTTTAAACAGTCCAAGAAGGCATGAAGCGCAAGTGAAACATAAATGTTTCAGAAATAACAGAATAGTTCAATAAACATTGGCAAAATTCTATTACCTACAGGATATCTAATCTGGACATTTATTGATGAATCAACATGAATTTATTAACATAACCCATTAAGTCAAAGTGAGAGCTGCTCCTAATATTTGGTCATTCCTTTTTCCACACATGAAAAGTAAATATCAGGACAACTTTATAAAATAGTGGCACGGTGGCTCAGTTGGTATAGCTGTTGCCTCTCAGTGAGAAGGTCGCTGGATTAAATCCCAGCCGGAGGCCTTCCTGAATGGAGTTTACATGTTCTCTCCGTGCTTGTGTGAGTTTTCAACAGGTACTCCGGTTTCCTCCCACAGACAAAAACATGCATGTTAGGCTGATTAGTAACTAAATTGTCCCTAGGTGTGAGTAAGAGAGTGAATGGTTGTCTCGTTTGTCTCTATGTGTCCCTGTGATAGACTTACAGCCTGTCCAGGGTGTCCCCCACCTCTCTCACAGTGATGGCTGGATATGGGCAGTGACCCCCACAACCTGGAAAGGAAGAAGCGGGTAGATGGATGGATGACATTATATAATAGACCCCAATGTAATACTTCATTCTAATGGTGCCTCATTATCGATACTGGTATTGGGCCCAATATCTGCCTCAGTTACTCATACTTGTACTCATAAAAACACCCAGATACTTCAAACTAATACTACTTTTATGCTTTATGTGTCTTTTGCTTCACAAGTAAATAAGGACAAAAATATCAATAATTCTGAGATGTTCTAAGACAAACAGAGTAGATATTAGGACAGCAGACTGTTAGATAAATATTTTTCTACAGTGACTGTGTAATGTTAAAGTACTAACTCATTAACTACTGGGTACTTGTACTCATTATTGGCAAGTACCGATTCTGAAGTACTTGCAATTGTACTTGGTCTGAAGAAAACTAGTATCAGGACTCCCCTTCCTCATTCCACAGAAACCTTTTAGCCAAGTCTACAATAGTTGAGACATTTGTAAAATGTGAATAAAAACAAAACACAGTATTTGTAAATTTCATAAACTCACTTCATTCACAGTGAAGTATAGTACATATATCAAATGTTTAAACTAACAAACGGGGGGAGGTATTTGGTGGCAGCAATACATGTCAAAATGTTGGGACAAGGGTCAACAACAGGATGTAAAAGTAAGTACAGTAGTATGAAATAGAAACGCTGTAGGAGCATTTTGCAACTAATTAGGTTGATTGGCAGCAGGTCAGTAAGAGGACTGGATGTAAAAAGAGCATTTTAGAGAGGCTGAATTTCTTCAAAGTAAAGATGGACTGCGGTTCAGCAGTCTGCAAAGAACTGCATTTAAAAACTTGTACAAATTTAGAATGACTTTAAATTTTGGACATCCCGTTATCTACAATTTATATTATCACGTTATCACGTATCATTTACGGTATAAATGCAGCCTGCTTCAAATAAAAATCCAAACAAGACTTCTTTTTTCTAATCGGGCTGTATTTTCCTCGATCGAGTCTGTCTCTCTCTCTATCTCTCTCTCTCTTCAGGGAGGAAGCACTTCTGTTGTTGATGAACAGAGAAGCTCTGCAGTCACACACTTCTGTCAGAAAATAGGTCATCTATCCCACATTTCACTGCATGCCCAAAGCAGATGGTGACAGCGGTAATTGGCATCATGGACTAGGGCCCCGCTGTGATGGCTCTGTCTCCCAAGATAATGCATCTCTGTTGGAGTGTCTGTGAAAAACCTGGTCAGCAGTGTCAACGAAAGAAAGAAAGAAAGAAAGAAAAGAAACAGCTCTCTGCTCTGGCTCTGCTACGTGGAGAAAAAGCACACAAGGGCATGCGTTACGATTTTCAAAGATTCATCAGAACTTTGTTCTGCAGAGCTGGAGCTGTGCCATTCTTATTTAAATACCCTATTGTACACTTGCCTTCATCTGCTGTGCTTTGGTTCAGGTTCCAATGCTTTCAGGATGCAAATGACTGTGACACACAAATTATAGCACTCTGCAAAATTCATGAAGGTCTAGCATTCTTTAAGGAATGCATATCGACCACAACCTTTCATGTCAGAGTCATAGACCAAGATCATTTTGTGCTAAGAAATGATGGCTGGAGCCATTTTGCTTAAATAAATAAAAAATGGTATGCACCATCTTATTAAATATTGCAATGTCATGTGATTTGTTAGCACTTGGAGTGTGTGGGGGGTATTATTTATCTACTACACCAAATTTTATCTCAGTATCTGTAAAATTCACTAAGTAGGTTAAAATTCACTGAGCTGCATGCAGTTAGCCCTTTGCATGTAGGCTCAGTTGACTGTGGCAGCCATGTTAAACTGGCTTGAGTCCAAACATTCATCAGTTGTTGATATACGTTCAGTGATTTCTTTCTGAAGGTTTCGTTGAAATCTATGTGATGATGAGATATTTTGCTTTTTTTATTTTATTTTTTTTATTTTATAGATGAGATATTTTGCTAACGGTACGGACAAACGAATGCACACATACAAGTAAAAGCATTATCTTTTCATCTTATTCTTTTGCGTGGAAATAAACACACACGAATAATAGCAACCTCTAAAAAGAATTTTACAGCGATGAATGTAAACAGTGGAGACATGTCAACCTGTGCCAAATTGCTGGAATGGACTAGAACTTGTACCTCATTGAAGCATTACAAAGCATAGCTTATATACCAAAGCCAATTAGAGAATAATCTCATTCAAGATGTTTGGCAGTGTTCAGCTTGATACAAACAGGACCTCAAAGTGTATGATAATTACATGTGTTGTAAAAATTAGCTGCTGGAATCAGTGTCTTCAATCGGCCTGAAAAAGATCTGCATCATAAGTGAAGATGGACATCTAGTGGTAGAAACAGCAATTCTGACCATTTGTTTCTGCTGACCAAATGCATAAAATTCCAGTTTGAGCGTAATATATTTTGTTCCATCAAAATAAGCAAATTGAATCTATTTTTTTTCACAGAGATGCCAAATAGCCCACAAACTGCAGCTTTTTGTTGGTTTAAAGAATTTGTGAAACCTTCTTAGCCAAAAAATGTATAGGATCCGAGTTCTTACTTTTCATCTCGACATGAGCCTGTATTTTATTCACTTGCATCTATTTGCTTTAATATGTGCTGCTGAAAATACCTTTAGAGCTGGCTTTTTATTGCTGCTGGTATCAGTGTCAACTTGCTGCTAGTTAGAAGTGGCACAAATGGTGCCTCCATGTCTCCTTTCTCTGAAGTCTTTTCAGACACCAGGCGCTGTCAACAAGCATGTGCATTTATGGAAGAAAAAAATACAGTACAGATCTGTGACTTTGATAAATTAGCAGCGTTTTTAATAATGCACATTTGGGAAATATACATTTGTTTTGCTTAAATTACCGTCGTTTTATTATTGCTTGTGTTATTCACTACCCCTGTACAGATTTTATATACTCGTATCCCACTGAGAACTGTTTGTGCCAGTATCCTTTAATGTACTTACTAATTAAAAAGGAAGTAACTTTAATCTGTAAAGAGGCACAGTTTGCGTGGTGTCTGAGTCTTCTGAGGTCACACAGGTGCCTCAGGGCTGATAAAAAGGCAGCACTCTAACAATGTTCTGTCTACAGATGGGACAATTTCGTTGTGGCAGGGCCAGGAAGCAGATGTGACAGCAGCATACATGTCCACAGTCTAACAGGATACAGTCTCGTGGCTGATCGAGACAAATCACGCAGACATTTCTTGGATAATCATTTGCTTCATCTACTGGAGCCTCAGGTCTCGCTTCATTAGCTCGCAGTCTTGCAGCTTCGGCCTGTAGATTTGCAAATTCCCTTATTTCTCGCTCTTGCTCCCAGCTATTTTTCAGGTGATGATAGTAGCGCAGACCAGCCCAGAGGAGGACTGCTGCTCCTGTCAAAGCAGAGGCAATGGCCAATACCTTCCACCAAACAGCCATGCTGTAATTCTCCATACACAGAGTATCAAAGTCTGTCATGCTCAGGAAATATTGGGAACCATCAGAGGGGGGTTGGAGATGCAAAACTCCTTCTGCATCCAAGCTCAACTTGCCAACACCAGTAAGAGTCGTGCCCACCTATAAAAGAATATATAAGCGCATTGTATTAGGATTGATTTGTTAATGTCAAATAAAAAAATTAAATGTATTGATATAATTTGTATTCATTAGTGAGTTACAGATCTCATCTAACAACTGACTTTCAGCATTTCCTCGATTTCCAGGTGTCCTTTAGGCTTTACCCCACTGACATACTGCCCTATAAGGTCTCCAAAAGCATAACTGGCAGGGGTAAATTTCTCATAGGTGATCTCTGTGTATGTTCCAGCTGCTTCAAGAGGGCTCAGGACTTTGACTGAAGTCTCATCTAATCCAACCAATAAAAAGGGCACCACATTCACTCTTTGGTGCAAGATTTGCTCTGCATCCATCCTATAATAATAATAATAATTTTTAAAAAGCACAACCACTTTAAACGCAGTTAAAATGTACAGTTTTGTAAAATATCCGAGTATCACCACAGTTCTCACCATGTGCGTGAAACACCGCTCCACACCAGCTTGTGCTCTTTTAATGTGAACTTCTGCAACACACCAAAGACTTCTTTATGGAAGTGACTCGCCAGAGGCTCTTTTTCACTCTTCACAGTACCTATAACATATAAACACACAAACAGTGGTGAGAATAAGAAGTACCGGTATGTGATTTACAACGAAGAAAGAAATTCTGTAAGCCCTTGTATAAAACCAGATAAATTCTGATCACCTTCAATAACAGCATATTGTAGACATGCCCCTGGAGTAACTTTCAAGAGCTCTTTAAGTTTTCCATCGACAGTGAAATGTGGAGCACTCTGATAAAATGACATACAGATCATTAAAATATAAAAGGAGCAGTAAATACAAACATTTCTAAGTTGGCAAAACTGCACACAGCGTTGCATGACCTTTAAGAGCATCCTTCCAATAAGATTATTTTTTTAGACAACAGCAAAAGAATAAGGCAAAGTGTATATTTGACACAAAGAGCTGCAAGAACACATAGGTGCCTTTGTTTTCTGATCATTTGGATTCAAACAACCCTTAACTACTAGCATTCAGACACATCAAAAACTGTTCTGAAGAACAATACGTTTTAAAATACAGTATGTTTCATAAAAAAATACAAACTTCAAGTTTTTTTATAGTTGTCTTGTTCTTCTTATACAGATAGTAGAACAAGCCTGAGAAGGCAAGGCTGGCACCAAGACAAACTGCCTCTGTGAGCGTCACAGGAAATCCATCCATTCCCTCTAAAACCAGACAAACAAGTACCTGCAACAATTTTAAAGAACAATGAGTCCATCAGTTCCTACATTTTAAATGGTAAAAAGCCCAAACACTCATTGTGACATGTAACAGAGTTACACAGATTATTGGGTATAAGTGGGTAACAAAAACACAAAGAGATTCCCCCCTGGCTTTAAAAGATAACATGAAACATGTGTGTTGACTTAATCATTGTTTGTGCAAATTATTGTAATCCAGTGAGTGATTCTGTAAATCAAGCATAATAAAACCAAAATTTCTTCTTGAATTGTACATACTATTGACAACTTTTTAGTAGCGTTAGTTAGGGGTTATCTTAACTTTCATTTATTCTGTTGTTAGCTGTTAGCCTAACGTTGCTAAGGCAACATCAATAAAATCAACACTTTCTAACCACCTCACGTTAAAATACATTATGAGTTATGACAAAATGTGCGTTTTCAAACGTACAAAAACTACATTTTTTGAGCAAATTCAGGTAAAGTGTTTGTTTTTCTTACCTGGAATAAAAAAAGAAACCTGTCAAGCTATGGTTAGCTCATTGTCACGTGACGTGGAATTTGGAAACGTCACGTGTTAAACGCCTTGCGCATGTCCGTTACGGTCTTTCTCGTCCACGTCTCCCTCGCGAGATGGCAGGAGGTGTGCGGAGAAAGAGTCCCGTTTCCCCATCCCCTATGTGGGGGAAATTTCAGTCGCTCTGGCAGGACAAGCATTTAGTGTTATTCAAGACGGAGTACACGTTACTGGTTGTTTCAGTGCTGTGGTTCCTGGAGATTGGAATCAACCTATGGGTCATACAGAAAGTAGCGTGTAAGTAGCCGCGCTGCTAGTTAGCACGCTCCGGTGTTTTGCCACTGTTTTCAATGCATCCGAATGCTAACTAGCTAGCGTTAGCAAGCCTTAACGCAACTCGGCCACCTGTCAAGGAAACAGACAGGTGTCACTCCGATCACAATAACCTGCTTTGTTTTAGTTTAAAACGGAAAGGTTTATTTTCAACAGCCGTCTGATTTTAATTTTTCCTACAAATCAAAGTTTGATTGTGACTTGGTGGTTCAGTATTATACAGGCATTATAACTAAGACTGCAGCACAACAATTAAAGCTTGGTACAGAGAAGTATGTCATCCTAGCTTTTCTAACGTTTTTGCATCATTTATATTTTATTCAAAATGTTAAAAATTGTAAAAGAATAGCATACTGAATAATATACAAAGATTATATATATATATTAGTTAAAATGTAGACAGAACATTGGTTCGTTCCTTGAGTTTGGAAGCTTTTTGGTTCATATACTTCATCTGTCAGAGTAAAGTGACTTAACATGAAAAAGTATGATAGATGACTGCAGAGCAGCTATCATTTTTAAGATTTTAAGAGCATTTGCCTATTTGGAAGCAAAATGTAAAGAAAATGATGTGTGACTCATTGTCTATTATGATAATGTGATAATAAAATGTATACACTCTGTTACTAGCGCCGTAGCTTGTGGTAATCGTTAGTACAGAGTCTAATGTGTTTTGGCAAATGTAGATGACTGTATAATATTGCTGAATTATCCTGATGCACAATGAATATTCTAAAAGTTTTTAAAAGAAAATATGTATTGAGATAAATGCATTAATTCCTAGTGTTCTAGAATTTGCTACAATTTTTTTCTAGAATTTGCTTTTGGAAACTTTAATTCCTCTTTTTCTGGATGTAAGTCACATTTTTTGGATGACTGTTTCCTCTGGTATCAGATGCTGTGCAGCTGGAAGGATTTTTACTGAAACTTTTTAGTTTTGGACATTTGTTATGATGCGTAACCATGGCAACAAGGCAGTTTCTATAACCAACAGCAGCTGATTAACATCTCAAAAGCTCAAATAATATCTCAACTACAGCCCCAAATCTCAAATGAGTTGAAAAGGATAGTTTGTGGACGCATTCTCATCTACCTGCCAACTGTGCTCGAGTGCCTGATCACTGAGATCCTGGAACTAGCAGGAAACACGGCTCAGGACAGCAGAAGGACAGGATCGTCCCTCGGCACCTACAGTTGGCTGTCCGCAGCAACGAGGATCACGGCAGACTGCTGGGAGGAGTGGCCATCACTCTGAGAGGAGTTCTGCCCGGCATTCAGGCGGTCCTACAGCCCGGGTGAACCGAGATGCCAGCCGAGTCTGGGTGGACGGATCAGACGGCATCTGCAGCCAGTTTCTTAGGATCCACTGTGGGATGGACCTTTACAAGAGATCCTTCCTGCCTACAGCCATCAGCATCTATAACATCTCTTAATGAAATGAGGATAACGAGTTACAACAACAAATAATTTCCCTCTGGGATTAATAAAGTATTTTTGAATTGAATTTAATTGAATTTTTTACAATTATAGTGCAAATAAAATATAATAAAGAGCAAATGGATGTTACTGACATATTATACTTTGAAAAACCATTATTGCCTCTTAATATTTCTCTGTTTTAACTGTTGTTTGTTTAAATAAAAATATCGGTCCTTTAGCCGTTTGCTATTTTCTAGCTGCTGCAATCAACTTTTTCATATTAAGCTTGTTGATTCTGTTGAAAGAGCCATGGATTAACAACAGAGTGCCTTATTTGATATTTAATGTGTGCTGCTTGACATGGGAGGATCTTGTTTTGTGGTTGTCAAAAATGATCTCTGGTGTTATTTTACTGCAGACACTGAGATTGACTGGAAAGCCTACATGGATGAGGTGGAGGGGGTCATAAATGGTACCTACGACTACACCCAGCTGAAAGGAGACACTGGCCCACTGGTGTGAGTTCCAAAAGCTTTTAGCAGTGATTGACTTACCTGCCTTCAATGCAGACCTCCTGGATTTATCCGCCCCCCTGATGTTGCAGGTATCCTGCTGGGTTCGTCTACATCTTCACAGCTCTGTACTATCTTACCAACCGTGGGGTGAACATCCACCTGGGCCAGTACATTTTTGCAGGTTTCTATCTCCTTACACTGCTGCTTGTCTTCAGAATATACAACCGCACAAAGAAGGTTAGTCCGGTTTTTAGTCTAAACATTTTTTTACTGTGTTAAAAAGTATTAAGGTTTATTCTTGCATAACTTTACTCAGCGCTTTAAATCAGCTCGTGCCATTCAGATGTAATATGTGCATGAATTTGTTAAAAACGGGCATGTTTTCTTTTGATGAACGCTGTATTTAGACGTCTTTTGAAATTTTCCAGGTTCCGCCCTACGTGTTCTTCTTCGTGTGTTGTGCCTCATATCGGATCCACTCCATCTTTGTGCTTCGTCTCTTTAACGATCCGGTGGCCATGATGCTTCTGTTTGCAGCCATCAACCTCTTCATGGATGGATACTGGACTCTGGGCTGTGGCCTTTATAGGCAAGTGTGAACTCTTCTTAAATGCCCTCTTCAGTTCCAAGTGTTCAGATTTTACACGTTTATTTGCAAAATGTTAAAATGTGAGTGACTTTATGAAATTTCAACTCAATCGTCTTCTCTTTCTGACAGTTTAGCAGTGTCTGTGAAAATGAACGTGCTTCTTTTCGCCCCCGGATTGCTTTTTCTTCTTGTGTGGGAGTTCGGTCTCATCAGAACAATCCCTAAACTTTTACTGTGTGCAGCGATACAGGTAAATGCTTCTTTTATGATACAAACGTATCATAGCAGCATTCATCTCCATGTGTGTTCTTGTTTACCGCAGGTTTTGCTAGGCCTCCCTTTCCTCTTGGAGAATCCCGTTGGTTATGTAAGCCGGGCTTTTGATCTTGGCCGCCAGTTCCTGTTCAAGTGGACGGTGAACTGGCGCTTCCTGCCCGAGTGGCTCTTCTTGAATCGTTACTTCCACCTGCTCCTGCTGGCAGCTCACCTGCTCACTCTGCTGCTTTTTGCTCTCCGCCGCTGGAAGAGGTGAGACAGACTTCAGTTGTCCATCAGTGCTACGCATGAGATATGCCAGGCCAGACGAGCTGGTTTTCTGGACCCTGTTGATATTTTTTTTCTAACACAAGTCTACACTGTTTTAGTGTACTGTTGGAGGTAACAGGGAAATGTCGACCTGTTTCAGAATCAGTTGTTTACATTTTAGACCTTCATATACTATTAGAAACTTTGTATATCCCATAATAAAGCCTGTTTTCTTTTATCAGACCAGGAGAAAGCATCGTTGAACTCCTCAAGGAACCAAACAACAGGAAACTCTCTGCTCAGAGCAGCACTGTGGATCATATCCTTCTTTTCAGTCTGTTCCCACCTAAAGAACATTGTAGCTTTTCATTACAGCTTTGACCTGGAATCTATTGATAGAAATGAAATATATGTTTAATTTTTTTCATTAGAATAGAAAATAATGAAAAAATGTATATTTTTGTGATCTTTCAAAGAGCATTTTGTAAGATGTTTAGTTCTGTTTCTACTGTGGACCAGAACAGACTAATCATTATTAATCTCTAGGGAGTGTCTTAATTTCTGCTTCACTTTTGTGTTTATGTTCTGGTGTTTGTTTCAACTTAAAGCTTACCCACTAGAGGTCTTCACATTTCACACACAGCTTTAAAGTGCATTTTAATGCTACTGATGGACAGCAGAGACCGTTCAGAAACATGAGGGCCCATCAAAGGTTTATTTACTGTATTTATGTCATGTGCTTTTAAAGTCCGGGTTCTGTCAGTTTCTATAGAAGACAGAACCATAAAAACACATTCATTTGCATCATGATCTCAAAGGGGGGATATTTACCTTATTTTACGCCATACACGTCGCACCACCCTATAAGTCGCATCAGTCCAAATATGTCTAATAAAGTGGAAAAAAAACAAAACATAAATAAGTCGCTTTGCTGTATACGTCGTATCTATTACGCCTCACCACTACACGTCGCGTTTGTTACGCATCACTACTGACAACCCGGAAATGTGGGCCGGTGTTGTGCCGAAAGTCGAATGGCTGCCAAATGGCGGGTGTGGGAGCATGCACAGGAGGCCTTTAACAAGAATTTAACAAGATTAATGCTTTAAAGCAATTGTTTGCTCAAAATGATAGTAAAGGTGTGTCTCAGTTTAACGTTAACCTTAATAAATGCACTTTAATGGTCAAATTAGCTGCATTTCGCTGGGACGGCACAGTGAAATGAAGCTGATTGGACAGTTGCTCCAGGCATGATCCCAGAGCTGGACGAAGGTGGCAGTCTGTGGCAAGCCGATTGTCATTATTAGCCACTTTTGCCTATTACATGACACAACGGCATGCCATACAACTCGAGTGCCATCTAGCGGCTGAAAATGATAGTGTTCAATATTTTCTGTCAGAATGAATGAAAACGGTCACATTTGTCAAAAATTGGTTTATAAATATAGGAGAAAAAAATCATATATTAATCACTTCGGCATATAAGTTACAGGACATGTTTTTTAGGCAAAAAGGTACGACTTATAGGCTGGAAAGTATGGTAATAATTTATCCTATCTTTTTGACATTTCTCTTTCTTCCAACACAACACTGTTTTCATTTAGCAAAGCTTAAAAACTCACCAAATCACCCTAAAAACTTTTAGATTAGTCAGGATTTAGACATGCACTCACTGGTTTATCGAACTAGTGATAAAACAACACGAACTTTACTGTTTTCCATCCACGCAACTTTCACAGCACTTCCTCTGTGTACATAGGAGACAGAACTTTATAATAATGAAAGAAATGATGTTGAAGTGTTGTTTATTTGTTTGTTTGTTTTAAGTTTATCTTTGTCAATATTCAAACTGTCTGTTGTTGGACAGGTATTAAATGAATAATCTTGTTGTTGTGCCTTAACACACGATTACAGATAGTGCTCATTCTGTTTACGTCTAACTTCATAGGCATGTGCTTCAGCCGCTCGTTGCACTACCAGTTCTACGTGTGGTACTTCCACACACTGCCTTACCTGCTCTGGAGTGGAGGCGTGAAGAAACTGGCTCACCTGCTCAGGTAGAAGGATTTCTGACCTGTTTTTATTTCTAAATCTTTGTACACCCCCAGCTATCGTTCACATAAAGAAACGTATTTTGTTTCCTGCTGTGCAGAGTCCTGATCCTGGGACTGATTGAGCTTTCATGGAACACCTATCCATCAACTAACGGCAGCTCTGCAGCCCTCCATGTGTGTCACCTCATCATGCTCCTCTGTCTGTGGCTCGCTCCACCTCTACACTCAGCCCAGGCAGAAAAGCAAGAACATTCAGCCGTTAAGGACAAACGCCACTGAACCACAGCTTGATCGGACTGAAGCCCAATCAGCTGCTGAACAGCCTCCGCCCTGAGCCTCACAACATCCATACTAAGGGAGGTCTCTGTGGTCGACTGAGTGGATGAAAAGCAGCCATTTGATGCTTCTCATCTGTGATCACTGAGTGACGACAGCTAATCTGTAGGTGCAGACCTATACCTGCATCATGTGATTGCTTGTAGCTGAAACTTGCAGTTGAAGAGATGAGAAATGATGGATTCTCAGGTGGTTTATTTAGGTACAAAACTGGAATAAGCTGTTTAGAACCAATTTATTATATGGATTACACAAACGTATTTCCATTTAAAACTTTACTTTAGTCATAGTTTATGGACACAGATTATTTTATGTTTATACGGAAAACACGTTGAAGTGGTTTGCCAAAGAATTAAGATTAGATGCTGGAGTTTAGGTTGACTGCATATCCGCCATAGTTTTATAGAATTTTGTAAAAGATTTATTTCCGAATAGTTTTCTTTGCATATTTTTTACAAAATACTGTACATAAACAGTAAGCAGTCGTAGTTGTTTGTCTGTTGGGAGTTGTAATTGAGCTTTGTGGGCTTCTTATGAGTCAAAGCTACAATTTCAAGACAAAATGTTAAAAAATACAGCAAAAATTTCAGGTTGAAGTGCGTTCAAAAATGCAGTGAACAATAAAAGTTGAACGTTTAAACTTTTTTAATGTTAGTTTTGTTTTTTCTAGAGCTGAGAAACGAGTGATATTGGTGATCCCTCAAGATTAAAAAGCTCTTGAACGGAGCTTTAAATAGTTCATTAGATAATCTGTGTTGAGCTTAGCTTTTAATGAACAATAGGTATGCTGTGTGTTTTGAATGAAATATAAACACCACTTAACCTTGATGCTTCGTACAGTCAGTCAAATGATTGGCTTTCTGCAGGTTTTATTTCCATAGTTTTATTACGTAAGCAGTAATTCTCATCGTTTTACTAAATGTCCTTCAGTGTAGTTCTACATTTGACATATCACGTTAGCTTTGGGCTACAATCTAGGCTACAAAAAGCTTATTCAGATGGTCAAGGCATTCTTGTGTTTGCAAAAAGCATAGCTCTGATAAAAGGCCACTTGGTCTATGTTGTATAAAACTAGAATGAACTTGGCATTGGTTTGTGTTAGTTAAAATATGTTTTCTTTTTCTGTAAATGTTTTTGGTCATTATTCCGAAGCAGTCTGTAAATCAGCAAGTCTGACTCAAGTTTCTTCTGAGATGATTGTCACATATTGTTGGGGTTATAACACAGCATGTTCAGTTTGATGTTCTCATCCCAGTGACGCAGCAGCAGAAACAGCTGTCTGGCTGCTCCTCTGAGCCCTGCGAGGTCCACCCCCTCCGGCAGCTTCTGACAGCGCAGCCAGAAGTCTGCTTTTGCTGCCACCAATTCCCACTCCATGAAGTACCCGGCACACCGGTGCTCCAGCCAAGCCAGAGCCACAGCTGTGGCCCAGGTCGAGCCCTCCAGGTCTTCTTGAGCCAACTGACCGCTGCCCTGGAGGTCACCAAGCTCCACTGAGGAGCCCTCGCATATGTCTGTCTCTGAGCCACGACCACTGTCTGCTTGTCCCAGACTTTGAGAAGGGCCAATGGATAGCTCCAAGGAACCCTCCTCTGAGCTGAGGAGGTCAGGAGGTGAGGTGACAGGGTCTCGGTCAGACAGGTGTCTTCGCACAAGCTTCAACTCCAAAATCAAGGGGTTGTCGATAGGAGTGTGGTGGAAAGGAGGAGCAGACGATTTGGCAATAGAGCACGAAGATGGAGAAAAGGTAACATGGTGACCAGCAGGAGCCCCTGGAGGCTTGGCAGAAGTGGATAAAGAGGGAGCGCTGGGAGAAGTACAGCGGAAGGCTGGGCTGAGACTGCGGCGGTGAAGACCGTAAGGTGATGCTCTTTTAAGGCGGTCCAGGGGGATCTGGACGCAGTCTGAGTAGATCTCAGTCAGCAAAAAAGCTCCCGAGGCCAGCTGTAGATGCACCTAAAGAAAAAAAGCATTTAGCAGGGGAGCAAACCAGGCATAAACTTTGTAATACATTAATGTTAGCTTAGCCGCACACAGAAAATGCAATGCATGGGTAGAAGGAAGAAACTGAAAATGCCACGTGAACACAGTGCTGAATGGCTTTGCTGAAAAAGCTGAAACTGAGTTGCTAGAGCTAAAGAAGTGCAGAACAAAAGATAAATGAAGCAAAAGACTAAAACTATCACAAGAACATGTATGACAAAGAACCTCTGACTCTGAATATAAGAAGTGCATGAAAACATGTTTTCAAAGTTAATGTTTTTGAAGGAAGGGATTCCAATGAATTTCTAGAGGAAGACAATTTGTAAATAAAGATACATTTTGAAAAGGTTAAAAGCTTAAAAAAAGTCAGCACCTATCTCCTGAATGTGTTAATTGTTCATGGCTGAAATAATACAAAGCGTACAGAAGTAATTACAAAGTGAAGAAGAAAAAAAAAAACGTATGAAATTAAAAAAAATTAAAAAATGAATAGGCAGGTTTTTTGTGATCCAAAGTTGCTTTAAAAGTTTAGGTAATTCTGACAGTTTGTCCATCTTTCACTTCATTCACTTTTCTCTGATCATATTGTGTGATGGAATAAAATAAAATCCTCTCAGATGTCTTGGCCACGTGTGCTTTCAGCTCACCAGAGGCAGATAGTCTGGAGCTTCACCCTCAGATTGCTTGTCCGTCTCTGCAGATAAACAGTGGGACTTGAGAGGAATCTGCTTTCCTGATGAGATAGAAGATCGGAGTCTGCCCAGTGGAAACCTAGAGATACAAAAAATCAGGACAAAATGGACACAAAACTGTAAAGAAACCATGGCATCATCACTTAAGATTGCAATGCATCTTTCATCATCTACAGTGAATTTCACAGTCAGCGCTTCACAAAATGAAAGACTTACCTGGTACCAAAGAAGCTCTCCATTGACTTGCTCTCTATGGATCGCTGTGAACAGTTGCATGAAAGACCTGAAGTTACAGGAGCCAAAGAACAGGTGCCGCTGCCACCTACATCTGAAACAACATAGATAATTAAAAACATTAAACTATTGTTTTGTGAGCTCTGTGATAATGGGTTGTGTGTTTTAAAGGCTCATGGCCACTCACTAAAAATACACAAGACACTTCTTTCAGCTTTTCATTTGTCAAGGGTCGCCACAGTGAGTCATCCTCCATCTCACTCTGTTCTCACTCCAACTACTTCCATGTCCTCTCTAACTGCATCCATTTATATCCTCTTTGTCTTTTTTCTTGGCAGCTGCATTTCAAATATCCTTCCACTGTCCCTCCTCTGGACATGTTCAAACCATCTCAGTCTAGTCTCTCTAACTTTATCTCCCGGTTGTTCAACCTGTGCTGTACCTCTGATGATCTCATTCCTAATATTATCCATCCTTGTCACTCCTAAGGAGAACCTCAACATCTTCATTTCTGCCACTTCCAGTTCTTTCTCCTGTCTTTTTGTCAATGCCACTGTCTCCAGACCATACAACATAGTCTCACCACTTTCTTGTAAACTTTTCCTTTGACCTTTGCTGACACCTTTTTGTCACAAATCACTCCTGAAACTTTTCTCCATCCATTCCATCCTTCTTGGACTCTCTTCTTCACCTCTTTACCACAGTCCCATTTTCCTTGGACAGTTTCCCTCCTTGTGGTCTTTGACTAATAGAAGCAAGATTTTCGCCAACGCCCTGTTTGTCAACAGCACCGGTGGCAGTCGTCGTTAACCTGGACCTCGACTGATCCAGTATGTTGTCACTTAGATGAGTTCACATATTGAAAAAGTGTTTTACGTTGGATACCTTTCATGACACAACCCTCACCATTTTACCCAGGATTGGGAATGGCACAAGAGAAACACTGATTTGTGCTCGCTAGTTGCTGTTTTTAATTCTTTTTGTATTAAATACTTTGCACAAAATACACTATGTTGTCATAAAAAATGAAGATTAATATTTTATTTTCATTTGACTAAGGTTAGGTATTATTCAGACATGTGACTGATAAATCGTAGAATGTTCTTTGCTCTGCTCTCTTTGGTCAGTTTTAAAGTCACTGGAGTGTCACTTCTGTCTAAGACATACAAAGATCGTTGATTGTTGAGTCTGGAAAAGAAATGGATGCTGTCATCATTTAGCTTGTTCACCTGTAGAGTTCCTGGTGTCTTCCTCTTCTTCGTAGTTTCTGATGGACCGCCGTCTGCCCAGACCAACAGAGTAGGCCCTCTGCCTGCGACCACTGGACTGAGAAGTTTGCCTGTTGCCCAAGTGAATCCCTACGCACACACACACACACACACACACACAAACATACGCACACACAGTAGGAACGGTAAGTTAATATAGGATTAAAATCATGAAGAATAACCTTAGAAAAATTAGTGCAAGCATAATTGTTGTGTATAAGTTGGTAACACACCTGTGTTGTGGATGTCCATGTTGTCTGAAAGGCCTTTGTTGATGTTGCCGTCAGTGGTGGTGAAGGCCGTGTACATACATATGATGTTACAGTGCTTACTTGTTTGAATGGCCTTCATACGGTATCGTTTAGATGAACCTAAACCAAACATTGTAAAATACAAAATTATTGAGATATTAAAATGTTTAATAGTTTACAGTCAGAATTAAATTTGTTTTTTTTTTTTACCATGTCCTTTGTCGTTCTCTTTTTCTGCCAGTTTCTCAAAGTCTCTTATAACTGAGCGAGCAGTCAGCTGGTGAACGAGCTCCTCCCATGGCTTTCCTCCTTCTTCCCCATCGACTCCACATTCATCGACCCCTGTAGTTGAACCCTCAGGGGTCCAAAGGTGCCCCAGGTCCACAGTGACCTCCCAAGACTCCGGCCTGCCGTTCAGCAGGCCGTGAATGTGGGAGCGACACTGACCTGGAGTGGGGTCTTCGGGTGAGGCAGAGGTAAAGAGATACTCTGGGTCTGTGAGGTTGTCCCAGTCCAGAGGAGAGGCAGGAAACAGGAGTCCATCTGAAGGGTCAGATAAAGGTGGAGATTAAACTGATATATAAATTTCTTGCTTTTTTGCATCCTTGCCAACTCACTGGAGTCAGTGAGGCTTCTGTGGGATGCTGGCTCTTGTGATGGAGGCTTTGTTTCTCCATCACTTTCGTCCAGCCTCCCTCCGAGGGTTTGGTCAAATGAGACCCTCTCCAGAGCTCTCCTCAGGCGATGCATCTCTAGTTCACCCTGGGGTGAGGAGAAACTCCTTGCTGCCATGGTTGAACGAGCTAGGGCTTTTTGTCTCCTACGTAAAGCCTCACCTCCGTCCGAACGCCCATCCTGATTGCACGGGAGTGTAAATAAGAAGTGTTGCTACGTTTGTTAGTTTGAAATCACTGTTACACATTGCAAGCTCTAAAAGTTTCATGCCTTTACCTTCTTGGCTGCTTTGCCAGAGGTTTCAGCTGAAAGGTTTTGCCGCCATTCTGGATCAGCCCAGCGAGATAATGATGAGCGTTCTGGTTGGGGCATTCTCTCAAGACCTTGCGGTAGGGACCCTGTTTCCAACACGGGACCAGAAGAAGGATACTCTGAAAGAAACAGGCCACCTGCTGAGTCAGAGTTTGAGGCATGGATGTGTGACTGGGAGTGGGTTTGAAGACTTCGCTCGCTGCTCAGGGAGCAGTGGGTGAGGACATACTGCTCCTGAATGTATGAGCTCTCCTGGATCCTCCTCCTTATATCACTGGACCAGTCCAGCTCCACACCTAGAGTGGACAAGCAAACAGCTGTTTACTGCCATTACAGAACTGCAGCCAGGCAAATGGGCTTCATTGAAGAGGCACTGACCTGGACTGGACGGGCCGATGTCTCTGGCGCAGGAGAACTCAGATGAAATTTCTCTGGAAATTTCTCTCAGAGCTTCCTCCAGGTCTGTTGCATCTGCACATGTCGCCACAGGCATGAGCTCAGAGGCAGGAGGGGGCGACAGCTCGTCGTTTGACTGGTCAAAAACAGAACCCATGGAGTAACGATGTAAACTCCTGCAATCCCGTCCTTCAAACTAAAAACAATTAAACTCAAAAATCTGATGCAGCCTGATAAAAACACCCACAGTTTATTACAATGCAGTAATGTTGCGTCATACCTCTGCCTTTTTTGCTTTGAAATTTGTCATGTCGTAAAGAGTGCAATACCCAGTCAGACAGTCACCAGGATACAGAGGAGGGATTTCATTGGGTGAAAGAAGAGCCTCCATGTTCTCTGGCAGGTACCAGTTGATGCGAACATCCGTCAAAACGGGTTCAAAGGCTTTTTTCAGAGATTTGATCAGCTGCAGGAGGAATAGGGAATTAAATGTAATATTTTCAAGATTATAAGGTTGATTAAACAAATTATAATTAATTAAATAAACTTAAAATAATATCATTCAAACTGTACTTAAGCCTTTAAAATAGCAGCACTCAACAGAAGGCCTTTTTTGATGAATGGCCAAGGCCACAAAACGCTTATTAACATGTAATTTCACCACCACCAACTATTATATGATTACAAACAAAAGAGTTGAACAAAAATAATCTTGTGCTTGGCTATTTGAAAAAAATATTAGAAAAAATTTACTTTTGTTACCTTTTATTTTCTCAATATATGTATGTACAGTACATAAACATTATTACTGCCCACTGTCAAAGGCCAAGAGGTTGAATACAAAAGTTAACTAGATAAATTGCATTTCCTGTGGAAATGCAGTGTGAATGCTTATTGCAGAAGAACTTGCTGAGAAACAGCTGAAATTAGCTTAAAAACATGCTGAAATGGAAAAACAAGCATACTTTAGCAGAAGAAAGCCAAATGAACACATGCTTGCTGATTTGGGTTTAATTAAGTAGAAATTCGCATTAAAAAATATGAAATTATCTAAAAAAGATTAAATTAGCAAAAAATAGCTGAAAAGTAGCTGAAAAGGCAGAAAGAAGCTTAAACTACCAGAAGGAAGCAGGAAGAGCTGAAATTAGCTAAAAATAATATAAAAAAAAAGAAGTGGAATTAGCTTAAAAAGATGAAATTAGCACAAAAAAACTGCTGAAAAGTAGCTGAAACAGCAGAAAGAAGCCTAAGGAAGTGGAAAGAGCACATTTTTTGCTGTATTAAGCTGAAAAATGTTGAAATGAATGAAAGAAATGTGGAATTGGCTGAAAAAGCTAAAACTGGCATAAAAACAGTTTAATAGTGGCTGAAATAGCAGAAAAAGTTGAAACTTGCAGAAATAAACTGAAAGGAACATAATAATGTAAAAATAGCAGGAAAAGTTAGAAGAAGCACAAAAATGTTGTAGTTAGCAGACAGAATCAGAAAGGAGCACAAAACAGCTGAAATTAGCTGAAGATAGCTGGAAAAAAGTTACAATTTGCAGAAGTGAAAGAAGCTGAACCAGAACAAAATATGAAAGGAGCAATAAAAGGTTGTAAACAGATCTAAAGAGTCTGAAAGATGTAAAATGAGCTCAATTAATTTTCTATGAGGGGAAAAAAATAGCAGAAATGGCTAAATATTTCAAAAAGCTAAAGCTGCAACAAAACTAAAAGTCAGAGCAGGATTGTTCTGAAAGAGCTGAATATGATTGTTTAAATATTACAAAAATTGTGGAATGGGAAAGATGCTGAAAACGTGTGAAAATGGGTCACGGTAGTGTGAACGCTTCATAACCATTTACTTTTAGTTGTAAATGTACAGTCATGCTCAGTACTGAGCTCTAACGCATCTCAGTATTGCATTAGATTGCGCATAAAGTCATTTACAAGATTTGATCAAAATGTCTGTAACTTTGTCTCTTCTCATCAAAATATGATTTTAGTTAAAATCTCAAGCACAAAGGGCAGAAGGCAATAATGATGCTGAGTCTTCATCTTGTTCAGTCTAATCGTTGAACAATTCATATTTTAACCACTAGGTGGCAGTGCTGCACTGCTGCTACCTTTGGCTGGAGTCTCTCCTCATCATCCAAAAACTCAGTCATCCCTCCTGTCAGTCTGGCAACTCCCTGCAGGAGTCTCCTGCAGGCTCGAGGACCAAGGCCCAGGCCAAAACATCTGCAGAGATCATACAGGGGATGTAGATAAGCCTGAGAATACTGAATACAGAACAGAACTCCAGAAAAAGTCTTTGTGATTGGCCAGCTGTTAGTAAAGCAGTGAGAGAAACAGAAAACCAAGTTAATGAAAAGCCAAGAATAGAAAAAGATTTACACTCATGGACAGAAAAAAGCAACACATTCAAATTTGATGAGTTAAAGGAGAAGGAAGAAGAACAATGGACACAGTTTTCAGTAAGACGCAAAATACTGTAGAGAAACTCAGTTCAAGAAGAGAATACTAATGAGACATAAATGGTTGTGCATTGGTAAAGAGCCTGGAGAAAACCGATGGGCGTGACTCTTACTGCAGAGCAGTGCACTTAAAGGGATTACTGGGCGGGGCTGAAAACCCCTTCCATCCTTTCATACTCCACCCATAATGCTTCACTCTCACTTCTTACAGATTGCAGTTTGTTCATGTCCTTTCGTCATTTCTTATGTTTCCCTCACATGTAGCCTCCCACTTACAGACTGCACTCAGTGCTCCCTTTTCTTCAACAGTAAATCTGTTGCATCACACCTAATCAGTGCAGTTGATCTAAAATTGTTTTTCCTCCTCCCTCCTTGTTGGAGAACCTCATGACCTTTCTCTGTATCATCTTTTCCTAACATGGTTGCCATACCTGCCAGCGCATGTGTTTCTGCGCACCAACTCCAGCACCTTGGCCACATTGCTGATGGACCCGTCTGTGATGATGAAGACCTGACGGGGATACGAGCGCTGCATGGGCTGCTGGTAGAGCCAGGACAGTGCTCCCAGCAGGTTGGTGCCTCGCATGTCTGCTCTCACCCTCTGGACGTACTCGTACGCCTGCATCAGCGTCACCTAGATGAAGACACGCAGTGGAGTACAAACACAAGTTCACAGAAGTTGGGATGTTGTGCAGTTTGGTTGGCAACATTCATCCCACTGAGAATCATCTTCTCTTCTTTTGACAACAGTCTATAACCATCAAGGACCAGAGGAGAGCAGCTGCTGCTGCTTTTGGAGGGGAATGTTGTCGTTTTCTTGTCAAATGTCAGATTCTAGCTCTTCAACAGGCTTGGGTCTTCTTTGCTGGATTCATTTGCTAGATGTGAGCATATGTTGTTCTAAAACTTGTATATTTCTGCATCTATGGTGCCTTTCCAGATGTGAGAGCTGACCATGTCAGAGGCACTAATGCACCTCCATACCAGCAGAGAGTCTGACTATTGACCTGTGCACCGATAACAGGCTGGATGGTCCATCTTTTAGTTATTTTATTTATTTATTTATATGTTTAAAAATTATTTATACCACTCCTGTGTCAACTCTTTAGAGATATGATGCTTTTATTATATCCTAAATAACATTTTTAAAGTGCAATTTCTTAATTTCAACATTTATAATGCAAATTAAGTTCCATTTTGAATAAAATACGAGTTTTTTTGTTTTTTTTCTACAATTTGAATAATATACTAACTTATTCAGAATTGGGATTCTAAATTAAAATATATAATTTCTACTGCAAAGGAGGCAAAGCAAACAACGTGTGCACAACTGGACTGCCAGAGCAAACACTGCATGAGATTAATTTACTGTTTGAGGTTAGTCTGTGAAAACAGCTGAGAGGAAAGGCAGGTCCCGACTAATGAAGAGAGCACAAACATATATATGTGCATTAGCACCTGCTTTAATGTGATCTCAGTTCAGACTGTTGAAAAACATGCCTCAGAGAACAGGAGATGGGACCTCGTCTCCTGCGTGAGTGAAAATGCATGAAAGGCCACCATATGGTGGAGAATGTGTAAAGACTGTTTGTCCTTGCAGCCCCTACTCTGGACAAAACCTGATACTCTGCTGCTAAGGCAACATAAGAAGCAGCCTTGTTGTCTGCTCAGACAGAATAGGACAGATCGTCCTGCACCATGTCTGCCTTCAGAAAACATGCTCCACGTGTATTCTTCCACATGAAATGTGTCAAAAACAGAAACTGCTGAACCATTAAACGTGAGAGTAACGTTTCTGGAAGAAGTCCGTGAGCAGCACTAACATCAGTGCAGAGCTTGCTGGAGTTGAACAGAGGTTTCATGGTGGTCCCAAAGCCCACAATATTTAGCATTGTACCAGAGGGAAGGCTCTTCAGGGCCACCGCCATGGCTTCCTGACAAAACGACAAAAAAACAGTCCGATCAGTACATGCGCCTCAACATTTAAATGACACCACGGTTTATGTTTGCCTTCTGCTGCATCCTGCCTTTACACGACGGATGTTGTTGCCGCTCATGCTGCCACTGCGGTCGATGAGGAACAGCAGCTCTCTGGTGGCTTTGTGCAGCTCCAGAGGTTCAGACAGTAAGTCTGGGCAGAAGTTGAGCATCAAGACGGGGCTGCAGAGGATATCTTTGTGGTATCGCTTCCTAACATACTCCACCTGCAGCACAGTGGTATTATTCAGTAGAAAAATGAGAATACTGATAGCAAAAAGTAGATTTGAACAAAAGTGAGACTTTGAACCTTTCTGTCCGGCTCTGAATCTTTGTGGGTGCAGCGAACAAAGTCACGGCGGGAACAGATTTGCTGCTCGTACTGACTGAAGGAGAGTCGACCTCTCTCTAATATTACTAATGGGCTGTGAGGCGCTGTGGAAAAGAAGAGTTAAAAAATAGGCAGAGGTAAAATAAAAATGACCTTAAAGTACATTTGTTCAACAAAAAAAAAAATGTGGACTGTTATTTGAAATGTAAACAAACAAAAAAAAAAAAGGAACACAATAATTAGCAAACATCAATCCACATTTTATACACAATAAACACATCAAGGTCTTAAAATATGAAATTACAGTTTTATGGAAAAAAAAAACAAGGTAATTCACATTTTTATTTTGGCAATGCCTCACAAAGACTGGAAAGGACCATGTTTACCACTGTGAAGCACATCCTCTCGTTGTAAAGCAAACTATAAATGTCTGTAAATGGATGGACTGTACTTATATAGCACCTTTCTTTCTGATCAAGATACTCAAAGAGCTTTACAACACAATCTGTGCCCTCATTTACCCATTCATACAGCACTCTACTAGATCTGTATAAAGAACAATCAGTGCTTTATCACATTCATACACCAGTGGGACACACATAGGAGGCAAAGAGGGGTTCAGTGTCTTGCTCAGAGACGCTTCAACATGTGACTGCTGGTGGAATTGAACCCTCACCTCTTGCATTAGAAGGCAATTGCTCTAACCACTCAGCCACAGCTGCCCCAGAACAGTTGTGAACAGAGGAGAGCAGCTGCTGGAGTTTTAGGAGTTTTTGCCCCATTCTCCTCAGAAATGGAAATGAAGCTGTGTGAGTCTTGGGTCTTTGCAAAATTTTTATGCTGAATGCTACTTATAAACCTGTATATACGTTTCTGTATTGATGCTGCATTTCCAGATGTGAAAGCTGACCATGACACAGACACTAATGCACCATCATACCAACAGCGAGGCAGGTGTATTGAACTGTGAGCTGATAATAGGCATTTCAATGCAGTTACTGCCTGAAGGCCTGAAAATTGCACCCAACCAGTATTGTTGCCTTGTCTGCTCACAATGACTTCTCCATATTTTTAAAGCATTTTATTCATAATATAAACTGTTGATGATGGGATATATGAAATTTTCCATTTTTTAAACATTATTTTAAAATTGTTCCACTATTTTTAATGGGGTTTTTTTCAGACTGGTGAAACTCCGCCCATTATATTTCTAAGAGATACCTCTAAAATACTTTTTTTTATATTGAGTTCTTTGACTGACGGGTTGCCAATAATCCTAAATAGATCAAATTGTTCCTCCAGCTGTTTCTTATTCATACCACTGACATTTACAGCCTTTTCTTGCCCTTATCCCACCTTTAAGACGAGCTGCTGCCATAAATTTAAAAATTACCTTATTTTTTCCAAGAAACGGAAAAACATTTAACACGTTTCCGTTATGAATAAGGCATGAGCCTATAAGATTTGAAAATCATTTGCTGTTATTTTAATCATACACCCATTGCCTCAATTGTTATGGAGTTGGAGTTGCATAATAAAAATGTAAATATATGACTGAGAGTTTTTCATTTCTCACCACTGAGGTGCAAAATGATCTCGATGTGTCGGTCGTATGGATGTTCCTGAGCCAACGTGATGTAGGTGGCAGAGGCACTCTGAGCACTGGGGTCTGCATCTGCTCTCAGTGCATGTGTAGGGCTCTCCAGTCCTGCAAAGAAATAAAGGGAAGCCATACATTATTTTGTGAGTATCTTTTCAACATGTCACAATTGCTGCAAAATAATGTTAAAAATCCCTTTATGACCCTAATATGTTATCCTCTTTATTCTTAGGATTTGTGTTTCTGGCGTTGTTGAATCATTAGATTCTGTAACGACATTGTGCGCGTTACATTATTCAGAACCATCAGGCTTAATAAAGAGGACTGACAGTACCAGCTAGCAGACAGGCCGCTCTGACCAGCAGCTGGAAGCTGAGCTCATAAGGTGCCAGGTTGGCTGCAGGGTTGGTAAAGACAGCATGAGAGCACTGCTGCTCCGTGTCTACGGCTCGATCTTGTTTTCCTGAGGTGGCACCAAAACAGCTTGTTGCCCTGTGGAGAAATAAATTGTAAAGAGCAGATAGCCCATCTTTGTTTTGACGCCAATAAAAAAAATAGTGTTTTCCACACTCATAAATACCCCGTTTCTTCAGATTTCCCTCCGTTTTCACTCTTGCTTGAAGTCATCTGGCCACAGACTACAGGAGTAAGCAGCGCAGGGTAGACGATTCGAATCGCTCCATTTTCTAATGTGGTGAGTTCAACGGTGGTGCTAATAATCACAGACACTATATCCATGGGGCCAATGACCCCACAGCCCACAATAAAGGTGGTTCTTTCCAGGTCCTCGTCCAGGATGAGATGTCCTTAAATTTAAACGCATCATGAAACAAATCAAAATGACATAAATTGAGCATAATAAAGAGGGTTATCTGAAAAGCTATCCAGTTAATTGTTTTATATTATGGGGGCACTTTTGAGTGTCTCATGTAAGTATAGATTTTATTGTAATTTTTTAGGAAATACATAAAAAATAAAAATAGTCATTAATGGTTCATATATGCTTAAATGTAGGTGTACAAATGTTAATTAGGTTAATTTTTTTGGTCAAAATTACTTACAAATACCTCAAACTGATAATCTCTTATTTAGTATAAATAAATAAATGAATAAATAAATAAACATTTACTTTATTTAGAGCAGAATTACAAAATGATTTGCCAATACTTTTGTTTTTGAAATCTGCTACTTGCTCCATTTTTTGTCTGCTTCTTTTAGTTTTTACACACAGTTTTGCTACTTTTAGCTTTAATCCAGGTTTTATTATTATTATTATTATTAGTATTATTATTATTATTATATAAAACTTTTTTTTTGTTGCTTCTTTTAGCTTCCAGGTATCTGTTTTTATACCTCAAGCCTTTTTGCTACTTTTAGCTACCATTTTTGCTACATTTAGCTTGTCTTTTGTTTACCTTTTAGCCACACATTAGCTAATAGACATTAACCTTTGCTGTGTTTAGCTTGTGTTTACTTTTACTATAATTACCTTCTAGCTATAACATTTAGAGTATTTTAACTTTAAGCTGGCTTTTTGCTACTTTTATATTTTATCCATTGTTCTGATATTTTTGTCTTTTAGCTTGTGTTCTGCTTTCTTCAGGTTTAATTCCTCAGTTTCAGCTTGTTCAGTAAGTTTCAGCAAATTCAGCACTCAACGTTCATAATGAAGTTACACAGAAAGTGTTGTTTCTCTAGTGATGTTTGTGTTTTGCACAGTAGAAATCCAAAAAGTAATTAGACCTTTATCATAAACAGGTTTGTTTAGACGGTCCTCATCAGGTCTTTGTTTAGGCTGGTTTCAGATCAGTTAGATTTAGAGTTCATTAAACCATTTGCTGGGGTTGACTGGTTGTCCTGAAAATGTTTTGGGACATTAAACGCTAAAGGACACAAATCTAAATCCATCTTAGTTTATGAAGCCGTGTCAGATATAAGAATCTTGTGATTTGATTAGTTTTTTGTTGAATTTATTTCTTCTCTATTTTCTGAGCAGAGGTCACAAAGGTGCAGGACTTCAAATACTTGGGGTCCACTGTCCAGGAAAATGGGGAATGTGGTAAAGAGGTGAGAAAAAGAGTCCAGGCAGGATGGAGTGGATGGAGAAAAGTTTCAGGAGTGATTTGTAACAAAAAGTGTCAGCAAAGGTCAAAGAAAAAGTTTACAAGACAGTAGTGAGATCAGCTATGTTGTATGGTCTGGAGACAGTGGCACTGACCAAAAGACAGGAGAAAGAACTGGAAGAGGCAGAAATGAAGATGTTGAGGTTCTCCTTAGGAGTGACAAGGATGGATAAGATAGGAATGAGATCATCAGAGGTACAGCACAGGTTGAACAACTGGGAGATAAAGTTAGAGAAACCAGACTGAGATGGTTTGGACATGTCCAGAGGAGGGACAGTGCTTTGGATATGTCCAGAGGAGGGACAGTGGGTATATTGGTAGAAGGATGTTAGAAATGCAGCTTCCAGGAAAAAGACAAAGAGGAGATATATGGATGCAGAAAGGACATGAACGGGGTTGGAGTGAGGACAGTGGATGCAGAGGACAGAGTGAGACGGAGGAGGATGACTCGCTGTGGCGACCCATGAAGAACGAAAAGCCAAAAGAAAAAGAAGAAGATTTCTTCTTTTTTATGCTCACCGTTGCTGCACTGCATGTCCAGGTTGGACATCCCACAGCAGCGCCACTCCTGGTCTTTCCCACAGTATCCTTCGAGACCAGAACCAGGGCAGCAGTCCAAACAGCAGTCCTTCAGCTTCCCTCGGCTCTGGATCTGCACTCCCACCAGCCGACCCGCAATTACAGCCTGAAACTCCACCACGACCTCTTTTTCCCGAAGAGGGTACACAAACACACCTAAATGAAATATTACAGAAATATTAGGATATTATCTGAAAATTAATCTAATATATTCTGCTAAGATACAAAAAGTTTAAACAGATTTTTTGCTTTGGTTTAACATATATGTCAAAATACAATGGTTGCTCCTTTAAAACATTAAAAAGTTTGGTGCCTCTGCTTGTCTTTGTGAAAGTTGTCTTATGTATTAATTTAAAAAAATGATGACAAAGTAGTAGGTAGAGGATTTACTTTGAATCCCTTTCCGATAATTGTTTTAGAGTGAATAATTCATTCAGGGTTGTTTAAGTTCAAACATGTGACAAGATATATTTTTATTTGAATCTACCAGTTACTAGGGATTTTTCCACATTCACTGCATGCTTTATATGCTTACGTGATACGATGTGAAAAAATTGGGACTCTAAGTCTTTTTGAGGCGCTATGGCTTTACTGGCCTAACAACATGACCATTGCTCCTGCGGCTTAATTAAGTCATTGTTACATTTTTAAACATCTCTTAAGAGTAACTAACTTGTTTGAGCTGAATACAACCATATATCTTCAAACCACTTGTGGTGTTCCCCAAGGCTGTGTGCTTAGTCCTCTTCTCATTATAATTTTGCTCTTTGTTAGCATTTTTCTCTGGTATTATAAAGTTTGTACTTGATATATTTTCTTCCTGCATAAATAAGCAGCTGTATGTCACTTTAAATCTGTCAATTATAAGAAATATTGAGTCTAAATGTCTCATTATGGGTTAGAGTAGACTATGCTATCCTAAATTAAGGACTGAGAGTGGCCTCACCTTCCACAGACTCTGTGTCAGCATTGGCATATGTAAGGTGTGCGGTGATGCCCAATGAGCAGCCGTTGGCACAGGACTTGATGCAGGAGGCCTTTAATAGCAATGGCTCCCACGTTGAGCGGTTTCTTAGCCCCACCATGTTGTCTGTACCACCAGATTTGGATCGAGTTCATGAAATCACAGCTACAGAGCTCAATGAAATGGTATGGGCAGGAAGAGAAATATGTGAGTGCACATTTAAACTCTCATTTTATATTCAGAATGATCTTTTTAGATCAGACCAGAATTTTAAAGATCCTTAAATGGAATGGGTTGATGTTCTGTTAAACACTATAAATAGGGCAGGTGTTTATTTATATTTGCACACATCAGCTATTGGATATGCAACCAAGATGGCTCCTGTTTAGGTACTCTTAGCAACTACTTGTGATAAATTGTGTATAGCAGACCTGGTCAATCATTAACAGTGCAGGTCAGGCATCAGGACTAGCATTTGCAATTAGTAGCTGACTGGTATGCAAACCCATGCGTGCCAACAACTATGGTCCTTACTTAACTACTGTTTGCCTTAAAGTTTCCATTTTACTGAAGTTGTGCAGAATTATTCTTAATGATCAACCACTTTAAGAGCAACAGATGCTGAGACCAGTGTGCAAGTCAGCTTTGACACAAGTGCACGTATGTGTGTGTTTGCCATGATCCAGGTAATGGGCTTCTCACATCTACCTTTCTAACAAGATAAACACCCTCCATCTGGCTACTGCCCTCTCAGCACATAACAAGCCATAAATGCCTGGTTTGTTGGAGCAGGACAAACTGTTGTTAGAGTCCACACGAAATGAAAACTACGATTTTCTGTTCCTTCATAGTGCAATCTGCTCAAACTCAGACCTCTGAGCTAATGAAGGTGCAGAAACAATGTTTTATCAGTAAAAAAAATACATGTATAAAATATATATTTATATCATACAGATATGTTTCATGTACAATCCTAATAAGCACATAATGCAGTATAAAATAAAGTTTATGTCCAAACATACATGCAAACCTTTTGAAGTTCTGTATGAAACTCAAATGCCAATATTTACATGTAAACTACAGTACAAGCCAAAAACAAAAAGCTTTCACATATAGTCATTAATTTTGTCAATTTGCTAAGTTATACAATATTTGACTCTAGATGACATTTTAGCATTAAAAGACATGCAAATCATATTAAATGAACGTCAGTATACTGACAGTATACTGACAGTATACTGACAGTATACTGACAGTATACTGATTTGCTCTATGAGGTTTAATTAATGTGTTAACTTAGCTTAGAGTTATCTGCCTTTTAGCATTCCAAACTCTAGATGACAAGCTAAATAATCAGCCAGGGACACTTACTGTACTGTTCAGTGTAGTGTTAGATGATCTGCTTCAGTGTGCTGCCTCTGCATCACTCCGGCACCACATCTGCTCACGGCTTTCCCACTGACACGTTGAAGGAGTTTTCCTGGTAACGAATCCCCTCGGTCTACAAATTTACCAGCCGTTTAGAGAATTTTTAAAGTCACTTCACAACCAAAAGCCCTACATTTGACTTTAGCAGCCTCAGCTTTGATCACAGCAGCTCACTTGAACAGAAGCTATAAAATTAGTGTTTAGTGTTGGGCACTTTATTAAAATTAAAACACCTTGTAAAAACAACAGACAAGTCCTCCTGCTAAGATCCATCCTCACTTTGCAATTCTACATGAACACTACTACACAAACCTACTTTTCCTGGTTTGTAAAATGTCATCTGCTTACCTGCTCTGTCCTGGAGCAGCGAGCTGATCAGAAACTATGATCCAGAACCTGCTGTTCAGACACAAGCTAACACAACGGTAAGTGAGGCAGAGCCTGCTTTTCATCCAGGCAATTGGCTGTGATGGTAGCAGCACCATAATTCATGGCTAATGGCTTGGCTAGAAAGAGAGGAGGAGGAGGAGATGTGGTCTGCCTCTCCCAACAGGTCAGTGAGACAGCAGCAGCAGGAGGTGAGACCAAAGAAGCAGCAGCTTTTTCTCCTTCAGTTTCCACTGTCATCAGTCCAACCCTAATGTTTTGCTTTTCAGAAAATAAGACACAGGATTACTTTGTGTATTGATTTATTTTTTTGTGTGTGTGTCTTTTTCTGTGGTCTGCACGATCCTGCAGGTGTGTTTTGCGTAAATGGACACATACAAAGAGAGAAAAGGCCAGAGAGGTCAGAATCATGGACTAACCCCCCTGAGGGAAGCACTCAAGTTTCTGTTGTGATGTTCACGTTGTGTCTTAGCTGCAGTATGATTTTATACTTTTGCTTTAAAGGCTGCACTGCATTCTTTATATGCATCAATTACCCCCCCCCCCCCCCCAGTTTTAATTAAGTAAATAGAGATTTTGATGTTGCTTGTATCATTAACTTTCTCACCATTTTTTACGTGAAAGTGTGATAAAGTAGTTTATCAATAGTTTCAATCTCTGCCCCTGTCTGCCACCATGTGGCCTCTTTTTTGTTTTATCTTCTTTGGTCTTTGCATAATATCATTTACGTATTGCCCAGATTTCTTTTTTAAAAGGTCAAATAAATTAGCTATCCCTGAATTATTGGCCCATGCTCTTTCATATTATACAAATCATTAAACCCAAACCCTTTAATTATGTTTAATTTTTGTCTTTTGCTCTCATAGAAATAAATACTCCGGTAAAAATAGGCTGAATGTTGAACTAAGTCAAAATATAAACAGTAGAAAGCAATACAACTTGCATCTTTTGGTACATCGATTTTTTGCTTTAATTTGCTAAGGTTACATTGAGTATAAATATAATTTTCATTATTAACTTTAACCTGTGGCGATTTTAGCTTCTTTTCCTAAATTTTAACTCAGCACCTAAAAAATTAAGAAACCATCATTAGGATTTTGTAAGGAAACAAAGTTCTCTAACCTTAGATTCACCAAAATAATGAATACATTTGGAATAAAAATGGATTACACTCTTAAACGAGCCAGTAAAAGCCTTTTGTGTGTGTGTGTGTGTGTGTGTGTGTGTTTTTTGTTTTGGCAGGCGCCGGATCCTCGACTCATTTAATACAGTGTTTATTTGGTTGTGTAATGAAAAGCAGAGCTCTATCTGTAGCATCTTAGCTAGCGCATCTTTATTGCGCATCGTTAGCTTAGCGCTACGTCTTGTTGTCTAAAATAGTTATTGAATCAAGTGTTTACTTATGCAGGTAAACATCCAGACTGCAGGAAATGACATCTACTTTATTCATAATTTTATGGTGGAGGACCCCCTGACGCCCCAGTGTGCACATTACAAATGCTTCTGACGCCAGTGGCCACTGCTTGTTCAAGACAAGAGCCATTGTCAACACTGGGGGCTAAGCACCCCTAAAGTTAGAGTCTAGAATCGCCCCTGACTTTTTTAACAATAAACCACTCTCATTTTTCGTTACTGTAATTTTCTTTTAGCTTTGTGTGAAAACACATAATAAGTGATTTAACTAGGTAAACTAAATAAACTAGCTAGACAAACAGAATAACATTTAAAGAACATCTAAAATTAACAATTTACGCCTGTTTATTGACATATTTTTATGTTATACCTTGAGCAATTTATTAAAATGATATGACCTCAAAGGGCATTTTTAAGGTTTTTCAAAATAAATCTATAAACAAACCGTTGGAGTCTGGGTAACGTTTATGCCACCATTTAAAATATACTAATATAAAGCCTTAAAATCATATTTTTAAAAATTGTTCAATATTTTAAAGTCTATATGCAGAATAGTTTTCTACTGACTAAACTATGATGGGGGGGAAAGTGTTGCTGTATGATGTCAGTGTCTGCAAACAACCACTGCTTGCTAATGATGGACTGATCTTTTTGGGTCTCTATCTCTGTTTTCATTTGACCAGAGGTCTGTGGAAAGTGATCTCTAAAGTGTTTTCCATAGAACAATTTAGGAATGTTAAATTAAAGGTTTGCACTTGAAACTGTTTCAGTTGTTTGTTGATCTTTTGGTATTTATTTGAAAACACAAAGTTTTATTGTTTGTGGATTCTTGTGACTTTTGGTATTTCGGGTGCTTGGTTTCTGTTCTTGGACAGCACGGTGCCAACTCTCAGTGAGAAGGTTGCCACAATGAATCCCGGCAGGGACGTTTCTGGGTGGAGTTTGCATATTCTCACCGTGCATGCGTGGGTTTTCTCCGGATACTCCGGTTCCCTTCCACAGACCAAAAACATGCATTTTAGGTTGATTGATTGCTTGTCTCGTTTGTCTCTATGTGTCTCTGTGGACTGGAGACCTGTCCAGGGTGTCCCGTACTTCTCGCACAGTGACTGCTGGATATGGGGACCAGTGACCTATGGTGACCCAGAAAGGAAGAAGCGTTTAAAGATAACTGATGGATGGATGGATTGTTTATGTTCTTGTAACATCTTTGACACTAGATGTACTCTGTAGTCTCAGGTTCCAGCTTCACACATGCCACCTGGCTTTCATTAATAATCAGCACACCTGTCAACTACTGACACGCTTCTTCCCCCTTGGTTTTTACAAACCGGATTCCAAGAAAGTTGGGACACTAAACAAATTGTGAATAAAAACTGAATGCAATGATGTGGAGATGGCAAATGTCAATATTTTATTCGTAATATAACATAGATGACAGATCAAAAGTTTAATCTGAGTAAATGTAACATTTTAAAGGAAAAATATGTTGATTCAAAATTTCACAGTGTCAACAAATCCCAAAAAAGTTGGGACAAGTAGCAATAAGTGGCTGGAAAAAGGAAATTGAGCATATAACGAACAGCTGGAAGACCAATTAACACTAATTAGGTCAATTGACAACATTGGGTATAAAAAGTGCTTCTCAGAGTGTCAGTGTCTCTCAGAAGCCAAGATGGTAAGAGGATCACCAATTCCACCATTGTTGCGCAGAAAGATAGTGCA